CCGGCTTCCCCGATTCAGCTGCTGCTCAGTTTCAGCTGAATGGGGGAAGCCTGTCTGGCTGCCCTAGAACTTCCGGGTTCCTGATGGTGCCGGACCATCAGGAGCATTGGATGCCGGACTAATGGAGTTTTACTGTACTTGAGCTTTCTTAAAATGAATTCCTTTCTATATTTGATTAATTCTTTAATTATTAGAAAACTATTAGAATTTTAAAAATTAAAACAGCATATTTTTCTTTTTTAAGTTTAAGTGTTGTGGTGGGGAAGATTTTAAAGATTGGTCACAGAATCCATACCATGAGTGTTCTGCACCAGGGCCATTAGCCTGTGGAGTGCCTTATACTTGTTGTATCAGAAATAAGGTATGTATAATCTTCTTGATCTAATTATTTTAACTGTTTTTCATTAAATTTCAATGATTCACAGAAAAATAACTATCCAAAATTGTTCATCAGTCTCTTAAAGAACTGTTCATCAGTTAAGAATCTTGGGATGTATGTCTGTTAATGAAGCAGAAAGGAACAGATTTTGATAGTTGCTAGGTTTTAATGCTAAGCAAACATAGTTTCCCCAAGGTTGTTTTGGGACCCAATATATTATATAGAAGACCCACCTGAAGTGGAAACTTTAGATCTATGACATTGGAGAACTTGTAAAGGGGAAAATAATTCTGAATTGGCTGCATACTAAATGCTTCTCTTATCCTTGTTAATTTGCACATCACATCTATGTTCTTAGGACAGTTCATGCTTTACCTTTAGCGTTATATGCATTCACATGCGTGTACACAGCAAACATGCACACACATACTTAATTAGCAATTCAACCCCAGTGATGAGAAACCTGAATACTTTCAATGAGAAACTAACCCTCTCCTTTCCTCAGTGGTGTGATACACAGCAGGAAAATTGGTTTGAAAAGCTGAAAGCAGTGAATGTCAACTTACTGACAGGCAGAAACTAACTGTGACGGAGGTGCGGTCACAGACGATCCCTGGGGGTGCCTCCCGGGGTGCTGACGCAGCCACTACCTCTTGCCTTCCCGCTCTCTGGTGCTCCTCACTGCCCGGTCCTGCTGGGCCAGCTCTGCTGGTCTCCCCCAGCCAAGGCCCCGAGCTGAGGTCCCTGCCCCCACCGAGAAGCAGTACAGACACCGAACCACTTCAGGTCCAAGGAGAGTGCAGTTTAGGGCCCACCTTCCTGAGAGATCACGCCCTGGATGGGATCAAACCCCAAAGAATTAGGTGAGTCCCCTTTAACAATGAAAGGGGGAATGTGCACACTGGTTGCCCCCCCCAGGTAACAATCGCTTACACTGGGTTTGATAGAAAATGAAAATGGTTTTATTAAGTTAAAGCAATAGGATTTAAGTAGTAATAAGAGAAAGTAGGCAGAGCAAAGTAAGTTACAAATCAAAAGAAACAAAACCGCTTGCTAATTCTTCACTGAAAACTCAGTGCAAACTTAAACTCACCCTAAAACCTCATTTCTAGCTCCCACTCTAAACCAGGGCTCTCCGCCCCACGCTGGGGTCTCAGGCTCCTTCCTTCAGGTGCAGCCCAGCCAAAAGAGCCAGGCCTCTCCTTTCCTATTCCTTTTGTTAAGGGGTTGAGGCCGCTCTCTCTGAAGCACGGCTCAGACTTAAGGACAAAAGATAGTTTAACAGTGGCTCATCTAGAAGTTGCAGGTAACACCCTCCGTGTCTCCCATTCACACATTTGAAACTCACATAGTATTCCCCGCTCCATGTGTCTAATTTTACACAGATAAATAATACATACCACAGAGTAAGATAAACAGAACCAGCAGATCATGACATGAAGATCGATGGGTTACATGAAATAATTCGCTCAAACCACCTTTGAGTTGTATACAGGCAGTCCCCGACTTACGCGGATCCGACTTACGTCGGATCCGCACTTACGAACGGAGCTTTCTCGCCCCGGAAGTCGGGGCGAGAAAGCCCCGTTCGTAAGCTGCTC